TAGGGTTTGGGGTTTGGGGTTTAGGGTTTAGGGTTTAGGGTTTAGGGTTTAGGGTTTAGGGTTTAGAGCATTGCAAGGTCTTCGACATACCCTGAACACCGCGCATGTCGGTACGTTCGGCAAGCAATGAAGCCGCCACTTCTGCGGGCGAGGCCGGGGGGTTAGTGGGCAAAACCTGAGACCCTAGACCGCAAAACTCAAACCCTAAACCCCTAAACCCTAAACCCCTAAACCCTAATCCCTAAACCCTAAACCCCTAACCCCTAAACCCTAAACCCTAAACCCCTAAACCCCTAAACCACTAAACCCCTCAAGGGGGCTCGGCTCAGGCCCGCTGAGGCCGCCACACACTTCGTTCCGGAGGTGGGGCTAGTCCCGATATGCAGGTTCTCCAAGTCCTGATGCTCAGGGATTTTTATGTATTTTATTTTTTTTTTTTTGGGGGGGGGGGGGGGGGTTTAGGGTTTAGGGTTTAGGGTTTAGGGTTTAGGGTTTAGGGTTTAGGGTTTAGGGTTTAGGGTTCAGGGTTCAGGGTTTCGGGTTTAGGGCTCAGGGTTTCGGAAGTCTCTATGGGCACCGACCCGTAAACGCCATTTGGCCACAGAATTCAAAGCGCAAGCCTTTAAATCCTGAAGCCCAAGCCCCAAACTTCAGACGTCACGGCGGCACCAAGAAACATGCTGAAGCTGAAAGCCACTAGAAAATTATAGTCCAAATAATACTCATAATAATCATAGAAATAGTATGATCACATAATCACCGCTAGTGTTCGTAGGTATTTTCTCTTTGGCTTCAACCTTATTGCGACACCTTATTCATATAATTGCTTTCTGTTAAGAAGGCTGTTTCCATTTTCTCAAATTAGGGCTGAGGTTGGATACTATGGGCTTTAAAACTAGTGGGCCACGCTATGGGTGTGAGTATGTTGTTTTGTATGGGGTTGCCTATGGTTTCATACTATGGGTCTTCTGGGTCTTACTTAGTATGGGTCTTTTTGGTGGGTTGAGGGTTGAGGTATAGGCTGCTATGAGTTGGGTGCTAGGGCGTGGGGGCATGGATAGAAAATGGAAAGGGGTCCTTGCTAACTCCTAAACCCTAGGCCCTCCCCCTTATACTAACAGTCCTTCAGAGGGATTCTAAGAGGGGGTGCTTTTTTCCTTACCACTAAGGACTGCTAGTATATGGGGGAACATCCGAACCCTAAACCCTCAAGCCCCAAAAGAGTTCGAGTCTGAACCGGGAACCTCGAAATCCCTAGGCCCCAAACCCTCATTTTCTAAAGGAGGGACCCTTATGAGGGACCTTGGGGGTTGTTTGGCGATATCTAGGGGGCTGCTTTGGCATATAGGGACTGTAGAAGGTATATAGGGGTTATATAGGGGCATCAGATCAAGGATCCCTTCTAGGGGTCCCTCCTTATATACAGGATTTAGGGCCTTAGGGTTTAGGGTTTAGGGTCCAGGGTTTAGGGTTTAGGGTTTAGGGTTCTTAAAGCCCTGACCCCTTCAACCCGATTCCCTAAACCCCGCAAGCCCAAACCCCTAATCTAAGGTTCCGACCATGGGCCCTTCATTGGGGTCCGTTGTTGTAAAAGGCCCTTTTTGTACTAGACATGATAATAGCCCTAAAACATACTGCAAATACTATGCTATACATGAGAATAGCCCTAAAACATAAATACTATGCATACAAAGGGCGCTGACTTCGGGTCGCTACAAACAAGGGTTTAGGGTTTAGGGTTTAGGGTTAAGGACGTTCTAAGGGCCCATGGTTCCAACCTTATACCTAAACCACGTCCTGGCTCTGGTACCATGCGTGAGAGCCCTGGGCGCAGCGGAGGAAATCCGGATTAGGCATTTTAGGGCTGAGGGTTCAGGATTTGAGGCTCAGGGTTTAGGGTTTAGGGTCCTGGCCCCTAAACCCTAAACCAGGATTCATAAGGGGCTGCGGCTTCAGTATTCGAGAGGAAATGTGGTGGATGCTGGCCGTCAGGTGCAACACCCTAAGCCCTAGAATGCCTAAGAGACGTCTGAACTTCGTGCATACGGAAAACCTTCGAAACGCCAAGGGTTTGGGGTTTAGAGTTTGAGTCCTACTACTAAGGCAGCCCTAAGAAGCCCAAGACCTTGTTTTTTCTGGGAAGCTTGCCTAAACCCTAAACCGTAAACCCTAAATCCTAAACCCTAAACCTTAAACCGCATGTAAATCCCAAGAACCCACAAAGGCCGCAAGACCCGCAGACACCTAAACCCGAAAAGGGCCCGCAGCTTGGAGCCCTCCCCGAGCATCGAACCCTCAACCCTCAACCCTAAACCCTAAACCCTAAGCCCTAAGCCCTAAACCCTAAACCCTAAACCTAAACCCTAAACCCTAAACCCTAAACCCTAAGCTCTAAACCCTAAACCCTAAACGGCTTGGGAAGGTGAAGTGCAGAAGCCAGGCACGACGAGGGAGGGCTTTATAGGCACCTGCGGAACCGTCCTGAAGCCTTGGTTTAGGGTTTAGGGTTCAGGGTTTAGGGTTTAGTGATTAGGGCCCAAAAACTGCATACTGTATCCTAGGGGTCAGGTGTTTGGGTCACGGGTTTGGGGTTTAAAGGAAGGCCACAAGTACCACACAAGCCTTAAACCTCTTCAAACCGTAGACCCTAAACCACGAAGCCTTGGGATGTTCCCCCTTCTACTAAGAGTTCTAAATAGGGATCATAATAGAGGGTAACCCTAAACCCTAAACCCTAAACTGAGTGAGTGCGGTGCCGTCGAGCAGGACGAATAAGATACCCCAAACCTTCGGGCAGAACGCAGCAACATCTTTTTGCGAGGTCTCCCTGGGCCTGTCTGGAAGGAGCCCCACCTTCAGCCGTGGTCGTGTTTCGTGGACCAGAGGCCCTCAGAGCCAGTCCAGGCAGCCGTCAGCAATTTTCGGCCCTTCCAAGCAAGTTTTCCAAATCCACAACAAGGACGCAGCATCGCCAAGGGCGAACGTCCCAAACCTCTGACATTTTAGCCCTCCCAGAAGCCCTCGAATGATGGACATCATCCCTTGCAACGCCAAGGGGCTGCGAACTTCTGCAGCGATGCCGAGCTTCTAAACCCAACCACTGGAAATAATACAAAAGCACGATCAGAGTTCATAAACAGCCCTAAACCCGTAGAGGTTAAGGCGAGGGTGGAGCGCCAGCGGGGGTGGGCTCCTGCAAGTCGGGGCGCGCGCCTGGGTGCTTTCAGCACCAGCGTGCCCACTCACTGAGACACCCTAAACCCTAAACCCTAAACCCTAAACCCTAAACCCTAAACCCTAAACCCTAAACCCTATTGAGGACTGTTAGCATAAGGGGGAACATCCAAGCATCCAGAACTCTTCTTGAAACTCTTGGCCGCACAATGCTGAGACTTTTCGGGAACCGGGCTTAGGGTTTAGGGTCTAGGTTGAAGCCCTGAATCCTCTAAAGACTAGCTGCCTGAGATTCAAAGGCTCGTGCAGATTGGTCGAAGTGCTCGACGTGGCCGCGGGGGTTTAGGGTTTAGGGTTTAGGGTTTAGGGCTTAGGGTTTGGGATCTTTTTCTTGGGTGGTTCAGGGCTTCGGGCTATAGGGTTCAGGTGGCGGGGCTGTTGGGGTCCAGGCTTTTGGGGCTCTTCGAGTATTCCCATAGGCCCCGCCGCCCCGAAATTTGGCAATATACCTCAAAGCTGCATGAGTGCCAGCGCGACTTTGAAAGCTCGAGCATTTGACCTGAATCCTAGATGCTCTGCGCCCTAGAAACCCTTAGGGTTTAGGGAAATAGGGCTTATCTCGGATCATCCCATCACCTCAGAACCAGCAACCTCCGACATGTTTTGAACACCTTAATATCAAATGACTCGTCTCAGCACCTACGCAAGCGCCCAAAACATGTGCACCGGGGTGTTTATCGCTAGTATCACTCCCCAGAATTTCAAGGAAGCCGCACAAAAAAACTTACCAGAAGAATCCTAAACTCTGCTTCACGTGGCTTTGCCTTTAGGGTTTCGGGCTTGGTTACGTCAGGGGTTGCACCCTGCAGCCGATCTACTATCCCCCCCCCCCCCCGCCCCCACCTCCCCAACAACAAAAAGAGAAAACTCCAGCGAAAGAACCTCTGAGGCCCAGGCCCCATAGTGGCCGGAGCCTCAGCAAGCTCCAGGGCTTACAAGGTCAAACCCTAAACCCTAAACCCTAAACCCTAAACCCTAAACCCTAAACCCTAAACCCTAAACCCTAAACCCTGGGGTGTTCCGACAGGTTTGGGGTGTGGAAAAGGTTTCGGGTTTATAAGGTTTAGGATTATAATGGTTTCGGAGTGTACCCTCCACCGTAAACCCGAAACATCCCTGGGCTGTTGGGTTTAGGTGGCTCTCCCAGTTGCTTTGGGGAGTCGGAGTCTGGGGTGCCGGTGTTAGAGCTTAGGGTTTAGGACCTCAAGATTGCGCACACCCCCTGCCCAGACCAAAACACCGTGAATCCCCAAACCCTAAAGGGTTTAGGGGTTTAGGGTTTAGGGTTTAGGGTCAACCCTTGAACCATCCGAAACCAAACAGCTTGCAATATGTGAGTGTGCGGGTGGGGTCGCGCAACCTATTCTTTGAAGTCTGGTTTTGCTTGTTGAGGGTCGTTGATTGTTCAAGGACCCTAAACCCTAAACCCTAAACCCGAATGGGACCGTAAAGTTTGTTTTGGAGGGGGCATTAGAAGAACTCTGCGGACTTCACAATCTAGGGCCATGGTTTTAGGGTGTAGGTTTGAGGTTTCAGTGTTGTCTTTGTCGTTAACCCTGAACCCTAAGCCCCGTTCTAAATGCGCGTCGTTTTTTTGTGGGAGAGGGTCGCGTTTCGGTCCTTCCCACTCGCTTTAGGACTGGTTCGCCTCTTGCACAACAGCGCGAAGAGCCCAATACCAATATCCTTGATGTTCATAGACGGGGTTTGGGGCTTAATTTTGGAACCCTAACCTCCCCGTCCCGAACAAACACCCCTAAACAACCCTAGAACCGCAGACCTCTAACACCCCCCTAAACCCCAATAGCGTAAACCATGAGCTAGCCCTAAACATTCTTTCAAAAACTACAGCTGAAACCCGAAACCCTGTAGCACGTTTTAAACAATAACGTCCCTGAACAACAAATCCTAAACCCGCAGCCCCTGTTTTTTGTTGCCATGTGGTGCTGGACTAGCCGAACTCAATGACTAAAACATAAGCGGTTTATGCAGCAAACAAAACCCTATAACCCCTAAGCCCATACATCCCGAAAGAATTGCTGGTACGAGCGCAACGGCAGCTGAAAAAAACAAAGATTCTCGAAAAGGACCTTTGGGCAAGGAATGATACGGATCTTTAGGGTGCTCTTCCGGGGATGCTTCCGAAGTTTATAGTGTTTAGGGTCCGCAAAAAACCAGTTTAGCCCGGCTAAGCGAAGACCGGGGGCCAAAGCCTCCCTGGTTGTGGTGCCCCCTAAACCCCTAAACCCTAGGCCCCAAAGCCCTACGCCTCGAAACCCGAAGCCCCCAAACTCTAAACCCTAAACCCTAAACCCTTAACCCTAAACCCTATAGAAGCGGCCTCCATGAGAGAAGTGGCCGCCGTGAGAGTAGTGGCCCCCGTGAGAGGAGTGGCCGCCGTCTCCGTGACCGGAGCAGGTCACCTCCAGAAGAGTTTAGACCCTAAAACCCTAAACCCTAGACGCTAAGCCCTATAAACCCTAAACCCTGGGGGGGGGGGGGGGGCGGGGGGGGGGCGAACGTCATCCCTCCCAGTCGCCCCCACAGCATGGATGCTTCAGCCTGGAATCCCACCCAAAACCCTACGGGCCAAGAAGGGTCTAGCAGGGCTTATATCTTGAAAACATGTGATGATAACAGCGCCCTTCTTGGTGTTTCTCACCTGCTGAAAGGGAACCCAGAACCCGGAAAGGGCAAAAGCGCACCACTTTGCTACCAAGACATAAGGACTTTGACATGCTACCCTAAACCCTAAACCCTAAACAGATGTTGGGCCTTCTTCCCGCAGCACACCGCCTGCTTCTGGGAAGACCAGGTGCGCCAGCTGCTCAAACCGACCTGCCCCAGGCAAGGGCTTCAGAGGGCTCCGTCATGGGGGTTTAGGGTTTAGGGTTTAGGGTTTAGGGTTTAGGACACCCCCCAAAGGCATGGGCCTGGCAATTGAAGGAGACCGAGAGGTAGCAGAGGCCGAGGTTACCTCAGCATTCCGAATATTTGCTTCAGCTAGACAAGTTCTATGGGCCCTTAAGGTGGTTCCTTACCTCCTTGAAAGGGTTCTGATGCATGAGCCCTTTGGGTTGTATAGGGTATATAAGGGGTATATAAGGGGTATATAAGGGATATATAAGGGGTGTACAAGGGGTATACAAGGGTATATAAGGGGTATATAGGGGGTCCCCTTTTGAATGAAAGTTGAGGCTGTCTGCCCCCAAACCCAATCCCTACAGTAAGCCCTTTAACTCTTGAACTCCCTAATGATAAGTCGGAAGCAACTCCTGATCAAAAGGGAATCCTACAAAACCCCCAAGCCCTAAACCCTAAACCCGAAACCCTAAACCCTAAAAACCGAATCCAGGAGTGAAACCTCAGCTTGATTACCCTAAGGGCCCAAGACCACAAAATAGTAAGGCCTTTGGGCCCCCAACACAGACAAAGCGTCTTGGGCCCTTAGCATTATGTTTGCCCTTGCGCTCCTCCCTTGCGCGCACCTGCGCGCTGCAGGTTTTTCGGGCCCCTGCAGAGCCTACATCCACAATAATTCTGGAAACTCGAACCTCCTGTCAAGAGGCGGGGAACCCTAAACCCTAAACCCCAAACCCCAAACCCTAAACCCTAGACCCTAAACCCCTAAACCCTCAATAACAACAAAGCAGAAGCCCCAAACCCGTAACAAACCCGAAGTTGCAAAAAAGAAACAGGTGAAACTCCCGCATTGGGTTTAGGGTTTAGGGTTTAGGGTTTAGGGTTTGGGGTTTGGGGTTTAGGGCTTGGGGCTTAGGGTTTAGGGCTGCGGGAAACCTGCGAAGCGACTGAGGCCGGAGCGACAACACCAGTCGACGCAATCTGTCCCAGGGCAGTATACGGGTGTCATGAGGACTTGAAAAACAGAGTGTCATTGAGGGTTAATTAGAGTTTATGGGGGCTTTAAGGGGTTGTGTGTTCTGGGCTGCTAGGTTTACGGCTTTGCCCTAAACCCTAAACCGCAGGGCTTTGTGGGTTTCCAGGTTCACAGGGCTTTGGGGGGCTAAGGGTTTTGAGGATTGGTGAGATTTGAGGATCTAGGGCTTTGGGGCTGTAGAGCCTTGGGGATTTGAGTAGTTATAGGCTTTGCCCTCAACCCTCCCCTCTCTCCCCACAACACTGCACCCGCGTGGCTTACCTGAAACATAGGGTTTAGGGTTTAGCGAGCCTAAACCCTACACCCTAATCCCTAAACCCTAAAAAACCCTAAAGCCCCAAAACATAAAGCGACAAACCCGAAACCCCTATCAGTGGGTTCGGCCCCTACATGATGGCAAGCCCTAACTTGCCAGATGAGAGCGCCTGTGGGGGTCCAGGGTCTAGGGCTTAGGGCCTAACCCTAAACCCTAAAACTCTTAACCCTAAACCCTAAACCCTAAACCCTAAACCCTAAACCCTGCCTTTCGATCGGTCGTCCTTGTTCTGGCAGTCGTCAAAGGTGTAGCGGGGTGAGAAGGCCGACTCACCTCAGGATGGAATGGGGGTGTGCATGTCTCGGGTTTTCATACTATATACCCGGTTTAGGGTTTGGGGTTAGGGGTTCGGGTTTAGAGTTTAGGGCTACTACCCCCCAATACTACCTCCACGAAACCCTAAACCCTACACCCTAAACCCTAAACTCTAGACCCCCTAGGTTCCCGGGTAGTATGGAGGGGGGTAGGGAAACCTGTGCTCTGAGAGAAGGATGAACATAGCGTTACATTGACCTACTATTCTATTGGCATACTTCAAACTGTTCTCGCATGTTGCTTCATTATATCATTCTAGGGTTTAGGGTTTAGGGTTCCGAGTTTACGATGCGATTATTCTACTGATATATTTGGGGTTGAGAGGGTCAAAGGGTCTAGGGCTTGACATTCGGCCAGCTGACAGAGTTGCACATGCTTTTCTGAATCATGGTCCTTTTGGAGTTCCTATTCGGATACCGAGCCCTGCGTTAAGGGTACCCCCCTCACCACCCCCACCCCCCTCCCCCCGCCCCCAAAAAAACACATCAGACAACTACCACTAAACCTAAAACCCTAAACCCTGTAAACCCTAACCCCTATAAGCCCTCAACTATGAACCCTATAAACCCTGAAAACCCTACAAACCCTAAACCCTAAACCCTAAACCCTAAACCCTAAACCCTAAACCGCCAGCCCCCCGGGTCCCTGGCCAAGGTGGGCGTGGTCGAGCTCGTGCTCGTGGAAGTGGGGCTTGTGAAGCGGCCGCGCAGGCGTGTGGTGCACCCCGTGGCCGAAGGAGTTCCTTGGTAGCCCAGTAACCATATCATAAGACCACCCCCTTTTTTGGGTTGGTTACTTGAAAAGGGAATTCAGAGCCCACAAAAACAAGGGTAAGGGGCACCTCTGGTGCTACTAAGGTGCGGAGGGCGCGCTCCGTGGCCGAAGGAGTGCGGAGGGCGCGCTCCGTGGCCGAAGGAGGGGGGAGGGCGTGCTCCATGGCCGAAGGAGTCGTGGGGAGGGCACGCCAACCTGGCAGCACTATGTCACTATGGGCGCCTAAACCCTACAGACCCTAAACCCTGTTGGGGTGCCTGGTGCGAGATGGGCCCTTAAACTGAGAGCTTCTCTAGGAAAACCCTAAACCCTAAACCCTATAAACCCTGTAACCCCCCCCCCCCCCCCCCAAATCCAAGAAACCCTAAAGCAGCCCTAATTAAGCAGCCCTAAAGCAACCCTAAAGCAACCCTAAAGCAACCCTAAAGAAAGCCTAAAGAAAACACCGAAAAAAACAAAAAAACCTAAACACCGAAAGAAATCCTCAACCGCAGGAGGCCCAAAAGCCGGAAAGTCCAAACTAACCTCCGACCACTGGCTCCTTCAACCCTGGCAGGATGCAAGATTTGTTGGGAGGGTTCAGGGTTTAGGGTTTAGGGTTTAGGGTTTAGGGTTTAGGGTTTAGGGTTTGAGGTTTAGGGTTTAGGGTTTAGGGTTTAGGGTTCAGGGCTTAGAGTCTAGGAGGGTGCAAGATTTGTTGGGAGGGTTCAGGGTCTAGAAAGTGGCCGTGTGCCCATGTGATACAAGGGTTAAGTCGGTTAAAGTGCCCAGCGTCCATTTCGGAAAGGGGTAGTGCTCGAATGAGGGCCCCTTTTGGGGCGTCCTTTTAGAATGTGCCGCATTCTATAGGGGACTTGGGACGTTCCCCCTGAAACTAACAGTCCTTAATCGGGATTGCAGTACCCCCTACTATAATCCCTATAAAGGGCGTTTAGTATAAGGGGGAACATCCCTAAAACTAAACCCTAAACCCTAAACCCGAAACCCGAAACCCTAAACCCTAAACCCTAAACTACACACAGGAGCCCCAGGGGTTGGGCGGGGGAGAGGGAGGTGGAATCAGGCCTTCAAATGCACCAAGAAGGCCCCTAACCTACCACTCCCCCCCCCCCACCCCCACTCCCGGGTTTAGGGTTTAGGGTTTAGGGTTTAGGGTTTAGGGTTTTGAAGGACCAAGAACACTCTGAGAATGCGGCTTCTCGTACTTGCAGCACCAGGACTTCTTGGCCTGAGGCGCGTCCTAGCCCTAAACCATAGGGAACCTGAAAACCCGAAGACCCTACACCTGAAAGCCGACCCTAAACCCTAAACCCTAAACCCTGAGCCTCCCGAAATAACCCTCCATCTCCATTCCGAAGCCCGAGCCCGCAAACCCTAAACCCTAAGCCACCAAACCCTAAACCCTCATCAAACCTTGGCCTAGCCCTACCCCTAAGTTCAACCCCCCCAAATGCAATCCGCTGTTTCACCCAAGCCATAAAGCCTAAACCCAAACCCAAAACACGAAACCCCTGCCCTCTAAAACTTGATAAATCCCGAAACCCTACTCACACCCGAATACAAAGCCTTATTTGCCTTATCTCAACCCGAAACTCAGACCTTCATTACACCCGCAAACCCTAAACACCCTAAACCCTAAAACCTCTAAACCCTACAGCCTAAGCCCAAACCCCGCCGCCGAGATCCCAGACCCTCGCCCAGATGTTGGCCCAAATTTAGGGTTTGGGGTTTAGGGTTTAGGGGACCCCATTTCGACCCTCATTAAACCCCAAACCCCCTAACCCCTCAACCTAAACCCTAAAACATCAGCCCCTAAACCCTGAACCCGAGACCCCTGAACCCTAAATCCCGAAAAAAACACTCTACGGCGTGCACGCCCCAAAACCCTAAACGCCTAAACCCTAAAACCCTAAACCCTAGATCCTTAAAGCCCAAAAACCCTAAACCCTAAAACCCTAAACCCTAAACGCCTCCACCCTGAAACCCTAAACGCCTAAACCCTAGAACCCTAAACCCTAAATCCTGAAACCCAAACAACCCTAGATCCTTAAACCCCTAAACCCCAGATCCTTAACACCCAAAAACCCCTAAACCCCTGGTACTGGGTCGAAGTTCGCATCTCCCGGGCTCTCTGGCGTTTCAAGTTCCAGGGGTTGGTAAGGGCTAGGGTTTAGGGTTTAGGGTTTAGGGTTTAGGGTTTAGGGTCTAGGGTTTAGGGTTTAGGGTTTAGGGTTTAGGGTTTAGGGTTTAGGGTTTAGGGTTTAGGGTTTAGGAGGGTTCAGGGTTTAGAAATTAGAGCTGACTCGTTCTTCGTAGGGAGTCGTCAGGTGAAGTGGAAGACCCAGCAGACGCAAGCCTTGTGCATGCAAGTTAACTTGCTCCTAAACCCTAAACCCTAAACCCTAAACCCTAAACCCTAAACCCTAAACCCTAAACCCTAAACCTTAAACCCTAAACCCTAAACCCTAAACTTAGGGTATAGGGTTTAGGATTTAGGGTTTCGCAAAGCGGAAATCAAGTTTCATGTCGGACTCCGAGCTGAGCGGGGACCTTAAACCCCGAACCTTAACGGATTTGGGCCCCGAAACCCTAAGCCCTAAGCCCTAAGCCCTAAGCCCTAAGCCCTAAACCCTAAACCCTAAACCCTAAACCCTAAACCCTAAACCCTAAACCCTGAACCCTGAACCCTGAACCCTGAGCCCCGCGCCGGCGCGAAGCCAATCATCCACTTGTCTAATCCAGCTTGGCAGTCGAAGGGACAGGCCTTCGAGTACCTGGCACCAATGGCCTCTTTAAGGTAAGTAGGGTTTAGGGTTTAGCGTTTAGGGTTTAGGGTTTAGGGTTTAGGGTTTCGGGCTTAGGGTGTAGGGTTTACGGCTTAAGGTTCAGGATTTCGCGTGTGTAGTTGATAGGGTGCAGGGTTTAGGGTGGGTGAAGTTGTGAAGGTGTAGCCTGTTCAGGAGGTGGTCTGCGTAAACCCGGGACTAAGCGTGAATCAACCACGGCCACAATGATTGATATCCGCGGGTTACAGTTCCTCCAACGTACCAGGAAAACTTCAGTCCTATCAAGCTTATGCAATACACATCGACCTCATCCTGTCACAACCCCCAAACACGCAAAACTCTAAACCCTGCCCTAGATAGCCCAAGATCCCCTTCGACTGGCTGGTTCTCTTCGTAGGGAATGAGGGAATGAGGTTCCTTATATAATCACTTAAAGGGCAACTGGCGTGCCCGCCACCAACTATTAACCCCCCTAAACCTGTAGGGTTTAGGGTTTTAGGGGTCTAAGGGCTGTTCGGTTCAGGGTTTTAGGGCATCTAGCATCTAGGGAAGAAAAAACAAAACTGGTAGGAGTTATGTTGTACTTAGACTTAGCACGCAAACAGGTTCTGCTTTAGACTGGCTGTAAGCGTGGCGGCAAGTCAAGTGGTTCTCGCAGCACCATTCCCGTGACTTCTTGTTGATTGCTGTCGTCTCCTGCTCTTTTGTTGGAAGGGGTTAAGGGTTCATGCTGTAGGGGAGCTCGATGGCTCCAACTCCCCAGCAGCCTCATAGATTTCGGTCTTCGGGCCCCCGCAATACCCTAAACCCTAAACCAAAAAACAGCTCTAAGATACTTCTGCGTACCCTGGGGCCCAAAACCCCAAACCCATTGGAAGATGGGTTATAAAACCCGGGTTTACTCGTCTTAGTGGCCGTGGCCGTGAGGTCTTAACGGCGCTGCGTTTAGGTCGCAGGGTGTAGGGGCGAAACGCAACAGACACCTAAAATTCCCAGAAGTCCTCGCAGAGATCACATTCTCGGGTTTGGAGGGCTGAACCCTTAAACCCTTCAACCCCTAAACCCTAAACCCTTTAACCCTAAACCCTAAACCCTAAACCTGAAACCCCAAACCCTAAACACCCTAAACCCTCAACCCTTCAACCCTAAGGCCCTCAACCCTGGTTGACAGAGGCCCTCAAAGCAACCCCGCCGGGCCCAGCTTTCCAAGCGGGTTTGGGGTTTAGGGCTTCACGGCTTAATTAAGGGTTTAGGGTTTAGGGTTTAGGGTTTAGGGTTTAGGGTTTAGAGTTTCGGGTTTAGGGCTTCAGGGCTTGAAGGGTGTAGGGCTTAAGGGGTTGAGGACTTTCGGGTTTAGGGGTTTAAGGGCTGTACTATCAGGGTTTTGGCGTGAATCTAGGATCCTTCCGAGCGGCAAAAAGATTGGAACCCGCATCAAGCCGAGGTTTCTTTTTTGGGGAGGGCTTCTGAAGGGGGTTCAAGTTTAGGGTTGAGGGTCTAGGGTTTAAAGGGTTTAGGGTTTAGGGTTTAGGGTTTAGGATTTAGGGTTTAGGGTTTAGGGTTTAGGGTTTAAAGGGTTTAGGGCTTAGGGGGGTATGTAACCCGAGGTTCCGATAATACTTCCCACTACTACGGCTCAAACTCAGCTTCCCTAAGGTTCCCTCGGTACCTCCTCCCCCTGACCCCCCCCCCCCCCCCAAGAACCCTAAGCCCTAAACCCGAAACCCTAAACCCTAAACCCGAAACCCTAAAACCTAAACCCTGATAAGCAGATTGGGGCTTATTTGGGTTTGAGGAATGGGCCGCCTATAAGAACCGAAACCATTAAGCCACGTGTGGGCATTCTGAGCAGGTGCCAACGCTGCCAGCCTGGCTGCAGTCGTAGCTCCTCGGCCCAAAACAGGGCATCTAGACTCGGGAGTAACCTAGGAATACAAAGGGCACCCTTTTTGGTTTGCTGGGGATGATAAGGGAACCCCAACCCGTAAAAAAAAAGAAAAAAGGGCCTACTCCCGGTCCTCGGCATTCTTGGGCTGCCGAGGGTTCATCACGCACCCTAGAAGTTATAGGGTCCTTAAGGGAAACACTTTCCACTACTCCCCAAGGCCTAAAGTTCCCTCAGTACCTACCCCGCCCCGAGCAACAGGGCGTGACCCGAGACAGCACCCTCAGACCTCAAACAGTCGAAGCACTAGGGTTTAGGGTTTCTGGTTTAGGGCTTAGGGTTTAGGGATTGGCACGCAAGTTCAATCAAGCAGAATGACAAGGAATGCCTATGACTTCCCTCATCGCCCTCACCCCTAAACCCCAAAGCCCCAGCCCCACTCCCCCTCAAACCCCTAATCCCGCCCCCCCCCCCCCCCCCCCACTACAACGCAAAAATGCGGGAGCCACGGTTGGCCGGAAGAAGGGCTTAGGGTTCAGGGTTCAGCGTTCAGGGTTCAGCGTTCAGGGGTTAGGGTTTTGCCGAATGCTGGCCGAACTGCATTGGTGTGTTTGGATGAGCCCTGAACTCTTTTGGGCTCTTGGGTGGGTGTTTTGACGGTGGAGGCTTAGAGGTTGAGGCTTCTAGTTCGGTTTGTGGGGCGTCTGGGAAATTTTGGGGTGCAAGGTTCAGTTCGCTGAGCCCCAACCCCAAAACCCTGAGCCCTAACCTCCATGTGAGGCTGGAGGGCAACCCGACACCCTAGTCCCTCAACCCTAAACCCCATGTGCAAGGCCCCAGTCCCCCCCCCCCTAAGGCAGGCGCTTGTCTTGGCAAGCCTTGCCCTCTTTCTTGCAGCAGAAGTTCTGGAGAGGGCTCATGGAGGGGTTTAGGGTTTAGGGTTTAGGGTTTAGGGTGTAGGGTTTTGGGTTTAGGGCAACATGGGGGGTCTCAGACTACTTGCTACTTGCAAGGGCCATGAAATTTCGATGTCTTACGCACACCTCTTTCGCCAAAACCCGAGAGAGCCCAAGGACCCATGCTCTGGAGGCCTCTCGAAGGAGTCATAGAGGGATAGCAGACAGAGGGTTCAGCCTGTAAGATTTAGGGTGGAGGTGTACCGGCTTTCAGGGCAGCTACATATATATATATACATACATACAAATCTTTATATATATATACAAAACTCTATAGTATCTTTACGAGTTCCAAAGGCCAAAGCCTAGACAACATACATACTTATGACCGGCAAAGGGCTCTTAAAGATACTTTACCCATATAATGCATATATATATATATACATATATAATATCTCTCTCTGCACACATATGTATATGTATATATATGTATATATATATATATAGATACAGATATAAGCCCCAAACCCTAAACCCTCAAACCCAAAACCCCTTGAACCTTAAACCTCAAACCCAAAACCCTGAACCCTGAAAAACACAGACCCGAAAAACCTAAACCCTAAACCCTAAACCCTAACCCCCTTAAACCGCAAACCCAGGGAGAAACCCCTAAACCATAAACCCCCCCAAAGATCCTAAACCCTAAACCCTAAAAGTAGACCCCCTTGGGGATAGGGGTCTCTATGACGGCAGTCACGACCCCGCCTTCTTGTCGGACGACCAACCCTTCTTCCAGTTCCAGAACCTGGGTGTTTGGGTTTTGGTTAGGGTTTAGGGTTTAGAGTTTAGGGTTCAGGGTTTTGAGATGTTTGTTGCGGTGGGGTTACGTGGCTGGCTTGCCGAGTTAACTATAAGAGACATCGTGGAAATAATTAAAGTGTCTGAAAAACCTCTGAAACAAATCCTTTTGAACAGTCCCCTTGAAAAGAAAGCTTTTCAAAAAGTCGAAAAACGTCGATAACAAGTCCTAACGTCCTAAAAATAGTCTTGAACACAGTCTAAAAAACAACAAAAAGTCTTCAATAAGTCTCGGGGAGTCTCCCGGCGACAATGTAGTACCTTGTCTACCCAATGGATCTTCAGGCAACTCCAATGAACCGCAGCACATCATCTGACGTAGTATCCTCTTCAGTCAGCTCGACATCCACAAAACCCAATGAACCGCAGCAACTTAGGGTTTAGGGTGTGGGGTTTAGGGATTTTCGGCAAAGTGCGCGGGCAATGTGAATCACCAGTGTACGACTCCAAAGGCACGACTTCCAGAGATCTTTTCCCCCAGTGATTACAAGGATTCCAGCAAGCCAGGCACGACTTAAGCAGGTCCCTCTAAAGGGTTTGGAGTCCAGGGCAGTGGGTGGCGTCCTAGGTTGAGCGTAGGCTTCGAGGGCTTAGGATGTTAGGGGCGGGTTCATGTGTGGGATAAGGCTTCAGAGTCTCGGGTTTAGGGTCTACTCTAAACTCTGAAACCCTAAACCCGAAACCCGAACAATTAAATCTTAAGCCCTAAGCCCAAAGCCCTAAACCCTAAACCCTACGCGTGGGCCCCCGGCCCCACAGAGCAGTTGAAGTCACCCAACTCCTGATCTGATGCCCAGGGCATGACCATGCTGGTTTAGGGTTTAGGGTTTAGGGTTTACCTCAAGAACCCGAAACCTACTTCTTTGTAGGTCACCTAAGAATCCCGTAAGGGGCTTTGTGGCAATAACCTACCAAAAATGTAGGTTTTGGGGTTCTTAAGGTATGGGTTGGGGTTTGGGGCTGTGGGGTCTCGGCCCAGGGTTGGAGGTTGGAGGTTTTTGCTTGAGGCCGGAGGTGTCTAGAGAATTAGATCCCGGAAATTGAAGGAGTTCTGGGGCACCTAGATCCCAATTTCCTACCCAAAACCCTAAAGCCTGAACCTGTGTGGGTCTGTGTTCAGGGCTAGGGCGTTCAGGGGTTCTTGCCCCTGATTTAGCTGCAAAACAGCCAGAGCCGGTTCAGGGATTCCAGGGTTTCAGGGTTCAGGGCTTCTAGGATTCAGGGCCTGCGGGCTTTGAGGGTTTAGGGTTTAAAACGGGCTAGGAGCGATTGCTTGCTGTCTATAGAGTTCAAGAGTCTAGTGCGCAAGAGCGTGCTACCTCGGCTTGTTCTAAACAAACCCAGAAAACCGACGTTCCCATCTTAAGCAGTGGCGAAAGATCTGTTCCCCATATGTAAGATAGTTTAGTTTCTGCACTTTCTCCTGTGCGGTTGTGTTTCGGCAAATGACAGAGTACTAAAACCATTTAAAACCGAAAACAGGCCGGAGGCCTGTCTACAGTAAGCATCAACCCGAAAATCCAAGATGCTTCATTCGGGAACCTGCCTGCAGAACGTATTGAGAAGAATTCCTACATGATTCAACTTGCACGCTCGAAGGAGCTGGCAAGACCCCCCATGGATTATGGGTCGCCCGGCTAAACCCTAAACCCCAAACCCCAAACTCTAAACCCGAAACCCTAAACCCTTGCAGCAGCGCTCTCCTCGCAAAAGAGGCCCCACTTGCTGCAGCACCAGCGTTTCCTGCCATTGTGGCGTCTGATCTGCTGCTGTCCCAACCCTAAACCCTAACCCCTAAACCCCAAACCCTAAACCCTAAACCTTTATACCCCAAACGGAGGCCCCTAATCCAAAACCCTCAATTAAACACCCTGAATACCGCCAAATGGTGAATCACAGCCGCATCATGGGTTAGGGTTTAGGGTTTAGTTTAGGGTTTGGGGTTTGGGGTTTGGGGTTTGGGGTTTGGGGTTTGGGGTTTGGGGTTTGGGGTTTGGGGCGTAGGGTTTCGGGTTTAGGACCTGGCACACCAGCCCGCAAACACTGAATGCCCTGAGGTCTGGGGGTTTGTGGGGAGGAATGGGGGGGGGGGGGACCCTTCAGGACTCAACCCCCGAAAGTCGAGGGATTGAAGTCTCCAATGTGCCTGACACCCAGCCCCTCCGATACACCCTAAAAACCCTACATCCCTAAATCCTACACCTAGAAACCCTAAAGAAACCCTAAAGAAACCCTTTAGAAACTGTGTGGTAGCCCGTTTGAGACTCTATGGAAACCCTTTACTAGGATGGCCCGGCAAACCTTCTGAAAAATATTCCTGAATATGATCCTCTTAAACCCAGTGAGGAAAATGCAAAGTGTCCAAAGTGCCTACCTAGTAACCCTAAACCCTAAACCTTAAACCCTAAACCCCAAACCCCAAACCCTAAACCCCAAACCCCAAACCCCAAACCCTAAACCCTAAACCCTAAACCCCCAAATCGAGGCGGCTCGACTTCGTTTCCGACCAGGCTTCGTTGTCTTTGCTTAGGCAGTCGAAGTGCAGCTTGTGGTGCACCACAGCTGGACAGAAGGAGGGGGTTTAGGGTTTAGGGTTTAGGGTTTAGGGTTTAGGGTTTAGGGTTTAGGGTTTAGGGTGTAGGGTGTAGGGTTTAGGGTTTGGGGTGTCGGGTTTAGAGTTTTGGTTTAGGGTTTCGGGCCCTTGCGCGCAAGCAAAAACCGAATGGGTTGAGACAAGAGCTCCCCCCCTACTTAGGGTTGTAGGTTTAGGGTTGGTCTTGCTGAGACTTGCTGTCTTGCTTACTTACCCTCCCCCAGATTCCTTCGCGTAGTATGGTGGGGCCAACATCCCCTACACAGGAGCTCTTCGAGCCTCAATGCCCTCTGAACCCTAAACGAAACACCCCTAAACCCTAAACCCTAAACCCTAAACCCTAAACCCTAAACCCTAAACCCCTAAACGAAACACCCCTAAAGCCTAACCCCCGCGGCGAGCAAGGGGCCCCAAACCCCAAAGCCTAACTAAGCCCTTGAAACCCTTCAAAAACTTGAAGCCAAAAACCCAAACCCTAAACCCTAAACCCTAAACCCTAAACCTTAAACCCTAAACCCTAAACCCTAAACCCTAAACCCTTCAGTTCCGAAACCCTAAGCCCGAGAGTTCCGACACCCTAAGCCCTGAACCCACGACTTCCGACACCGTGAACCCTACTTGGAGGTGCATGGTACTTACTAGCCAATTCTCACTGTACTTGTAAGGGGTTTAGGGTTTAGGGTTTAGGGTTTAGGGGTAGAACTAGCTGTACTTATAACTATATTAGAGCACTCAAGGGGCTTATAAGTGGGTTGTAAGTACGGTTATAATGGGTTAATCAGTACCATGAGACTCCAAGTAGACTTCCCAAACCCTAAGCCCTGAACCCTCGAGTTCCTAAGCAAAGGTTTAGGGTTTAGGGTTTAGGGTTTAGGGTTTAGGGCTAGGGCTTAGGGTTTTGGGGTTTAGGGTTTTGGGGTCTAGGGTTTACGGCAACCCTCGAGTTCCGAAGCCCAAAACAGCTCAAGGGGGCCTGGTCTTGGCTTCGTGTTCGGGTGGTCGATGATGTCAAGGCTGGCGGCGTCCTCTCTATAAGGGTATCATTGATTTTATGGTGTTCTTTTAGCGGGGGTGGGGGGGGGAGTTATTTTTGCATAATTATATAGGGAACATAAAGGACAACTATTAGTAATGATTCCGACCCGCTTATACAACCCAAGGGCCTGTACTCCAGAACCCTTTAAAGAAGGGTATGGACCACATCAAGGGACAACAACCCTTAGAGTCCTCCCACAACAAACCCCCCGTAAGGTCCAGGAGGGTTGGGATTTGGCTTGGGGAGCTTGGGGTTCGTGGTTTTTAGGTAAGACCTTGATTTGCTCGTCCAGCTCCCCAGGGCAGAAAGAGGGGTGCGCCTCTGGATTACATTGGGGTGAACTATCCAAGAAGAAAGGCTAATCGGTACATAGTTGCCTTATTCAGGCAAACTCCTATATTAACGCTAAGCCCTAAACTTAAGCCTGAAAGATTTGTACCTGAAAGCCGCCCTCCGTGGTACGTCTTGTGAAGTTGTCCGTAGATGTTCCTAAACCCTAAACCCTAAACCCTAAACCCTAAACCCTAAAACCTTCCGCGGCCCAAAAGTGCGACATGCGGTCCTCCCAGTCATTTCGGTCGGAGTCGCCGTGCGGCCTCGGGCAGTCCGGAAGCATCCAAAGCTCTAGAATAAAGGGGTTTAGGGTTTAGGGTTTAGGGATTAGGTGAAACAAGTACAGGCGTAGTTTATGAACAATAGGAGAATACACATACATACATACATACATGCATGCATGCATGCATGCATGCATGCATGCATGCATACATACACACATACATGCATACATACATACATACATGCATACATACGCACAGACATACATACATACATACATACATACATACATACATACATACATACATACATACATACATACATACATAGAAGTAAATACATAGAAGTAAATACAAAATTAAATATGTATGTATTTATGTATTTATGTTTATGTATATTTGTATTTTATACATAATAAATGAAATAGAAGTAGAAATAGACATAAACATAGAAATAGAAGCAGAGATAGAATTGAAATAGATATGTGCATCTATATATATATATATGTTCATTCATAACATGAGATGTATAAATTTGTAGTTTATGATCTGCCAAAATACTTTAACCCAATGTACGGCTGACGCAGGACGGATGTGCAGGGCAATCGTTGGTCAAAGTTCAAGAAGCCTGACAACCCTAAACCCTAAACCCTCAACCCTAAAAACCCCACTTGCAGGATGCAAGAAGACGACCCCTGAGCCCCTCAACCCGAAATCCTAAACCCTGTACTCTACACCTTAAACCCTCAACCCGAAAGCCTGAACCCTCTGCTCCAAACCGTAAACCCTCAACCCCAAAGCCTAAATCCTGTACCCTCAATCCGAAACCCTAAAACCCCTGTACCCTAAGCTTTAAGCCCTCCACCCGAAATCTTGAATGGATGATGTGCTTGGTAGCCCAGGAATCATATTCCAATAAGGGCACCCTTTTTGGGGTTAGTTTTTTGATAGAGAAACCAACCCAAAACCCCACATCCTACACCCGAAGCCCTCAACCCGAAACCCTAAACGCGAACGGGTGATGTGGCAGACGCTTCCGAGGTGGGCACCCATAGTGGTCGTCCTTAGCATGGTCGGAGGCTTCGCCAGAAGACATGGAGGGGGTCGGGGTCGGGTGTCGGGTTTAGGGGTTAGGGTTTCGGGTTTAAGGTTTAGGGCTTGAGTAGGGGGGTTTAGTGAGGGTCTAGGGTTTAGGGCTCAGGGGCTTAGCGTTTCACGAGGGTTCAGGGTCTAGGGCTGTATAGGGCCTGATTAGGGCTTAAGGGTTTGCTGGTTTTTGGTTTCGTCCTGTGATCTCGAGACCTGTCTACATGTTGGAAGGCGCTCGGCGCTCGGCGCTTCCACCCCACGATAGGGGCTGGCATAACAGCCCATGGGCCGTGCTAGGTTTTCTTAAACCCTAAACCCTAAACCCTAAACCCTTTGGTGGTTTGGGGATGAGGTTTAGGGTTTAGGTTTTCAAGGGCATGTACCCAACAAAGGAGCTTCTCCCGCGTGTAAGAGTACCTTTTACCTAGACCCAAGACCTAGGAATGTAAAGGGTGCCCTATTTTGGTTTAAAGGGCTTATAAGGGAACCTAAACCCCAAACCCTAAACCTAAATCCTAAAACCCTAACAAAAGGTAAGCAGCTACCATGCAAGGCCAGTTGCGATCGGCACCGCCACCACCTTTGGGCACCCAATGCCTGGTGAGGGCCGAGACGACTGAAGTGTAGGGTTGAGGGGCTGCGGCCCCCAAAGCTTAAACCCTAAACCCTAGACCCCAAACCCTAAACCATAAACCGGAAGTTGGGTGTTTAGGGGGCTTGGGGGGCTGAATGCGGAAGCCTAACCGTAACCCCTAAATCGCCGTAAAAAAAAAAAAAAAAAACTAAACCCTAAACCCTAAACTCTACAATATGTGGATCAGGGCCTATACAGGGTCACCCTTAGAGGGTGAAGCCCTCCTCCCCACCCTCCACCCCCGACCCCCAAACCTCTTGTGGCGACCTAAGCCCGAAGCCCTGAAAAACAGATTCTAAGTATGTTCTACAAACCCACTTAATATTAGGAGGAGGGCATTCTCCCCTGCGACCTCCATACACCCTCAGCTTGATTCCCTGGAACCCTGGAACTAAACCCTAAACCCTAAACCCTAAACCCTAAACCCTAAACCACAAACCCCAAACCCGAAACCCTAAACCTTTAAATCCAAAATTGTTGCCAGGGGCCTTTGAGGATGCAGCAGAAGTCCCGCTCGCTGTTATCCCACTGATCCTTCTTCTTCGCGTCGCACTCGTGGGGGCCTAGGGTTCAGCGTTGAGAGGTTTAGGGTTTAGGGTTTAGGGTTTAGGGTTTAGGGTTTAGGGTTTAGGGTTTAGGGTTTAGGGTTTCGGGTTTAGGGTCTGGGCCCGGGTTTGGGGTGCGGGGTTTTGGGTTTATATCTTAACGAACTTATTACAACTTCTGGCTGAGGGGTCATCGGGCTTTAACTGTTTAAGGCTCTTTGTTTAAGTGTGTAGGCTTTGGGTTTTAGCAGCATCCTGGTCCTGATTTCTGCAGTCGTTCCAATTCAAAACGACTAGTAGTCCCACTCGAGAACGTCGCAGCAGATGGTAGGCCCGGCGGGTCCAGGTCAAGACTCGTTACCTCCCATCTAAAGGCACGGATGCTGCCCGTCCCATTGGAAAGCTTCAGCAACCGGGACATTTGTTCTGGCCACCACCACAGGCCAGCGTTCCGATCAGGGAATTCCCGGTACCCTATGTCCCCAAAAACCCCGATGAAGCCCCAAACGCCCTGTCAGCGCCACAAACCCTATCAGCTAGCCCCATAAACCCTATAAACCCTCCCTGTAAACCCTGTAAGCCATACAACCCACATTCTCTGCGAGCCCTAATCCCTAACCTGTAAGCCCTAAACCCTAAACCCTAAACCCGAAACCCTAAACCCTAAACCCCAAACCCTAAGCCCTCCCTAAGCCCTAAACCCTAAACCCAAAACCCGAAACCCTGAACCCTAAACCCCAAAGCCCTAATCCCTAAACCCTGAACCCCAAACCCATCATCCGGGTGGCTGCTCGAATGGTGCTGGCACCACCAGATCTGCTCAGAAGACCAGCCTCGGCCAGGTGGGGTGGGTTAGGGTTTAGGGTTTGGGGTATGGGGTTGGGGGTTTAGGGTTTAGGGTTTAGGGTCTAGGGTCTAGGGTCACCACAAACCCTGCGAACCCTGAGCGCACATAAGGGGGTTTAGGGTTTCGGGTTTAGGGTTTAGGATTTGGGGCTTAGGGGCTAGGGTTTAGGGTGGATATATATATATATATATATATATGCAAAATATATATATATATATATATATACATATACATGAACTGCTACATACATGTGTTTTTAAAATAGATAAACGTGATTTTTCTATATATATATATATACATATATATATATATATGCTAGCCCCACCCTGTAAGGAACTCAAGGCTCAAAAGCTCCAACTCTCTCCCCCCGCGAGGTTTGGGGTTTCGGGTTCAGGCCACCACCCAAAGACCCTAAAACCCTAAAACCCCAAACCCCAAACCCTAAACCCTAAACCCTAAACCCTAAACCCTAAACCCTAAACGCTGTATCCATCGGGCTTACAGGGTTCAGGGGCCCTAAACCCGAAACCCTCAACCCTGAACCCTCAACCCTGAACCCTAAACCCTAAGCCCTAAACCCTAAGCCCTAAACCCTAAACCCTAAACCCTAAGCCCTAAGCCCTAAACCGTAAACCCTACCCTTAAGGCCTTCAGGCCCCAAGCCCGTGCGAGGCCCTCGCTCGACTCATCGCCGGTGTTGCAGTCATAAAGTCCCTCCTTCACAGCTTTTGTTTAAGGGTGTTTAGGGCGTTTAGGGTCTTTAGGCTTTAGGGTTCAGGGTGTAGGGTTTAGGATGTTTAGAATGTTTAGGGTGTTTAGGGTCTTTAGGGTTTAGGCTGTTTAGGGTCTTTAGAGTTTCGGGTGTTTAAGGTGTATGGGGTGCTCAGGGTCTTTAGGTTTTAGGGAGCGTTTCAGGTTTTGGGGCACATGGATAAGGGTCCAGGAATGTGGCACGAGGGACGGGTCAACCTTTTAACAAAGAAGATCAGGGCCGATCCTCAGAGCTAAACAGGGTTTAGGGTTTAGGGTTTAGGGTTTAGGGTTCAGGGGTTCCTGCTAAGGAGTTCAAGTATCACACCTACCACGATAAGGTACTCGGGTGTGTGTACTTATTTGTGTATGTGTATGTGTATGTAAAACCTTATGATGGTAACTTAAGTAGTTTGAACCCTAAACCCTAAACACGAAACCCTAAACCTTGCAAACCTGACTCAGAACCCAGTACGCCCTATCGAGGCTGCTTAAAGTACAGTGTTTGCGCGGACGGACAGGGGCCCTGTCAAGCACGCCATGAGGAACCCTAAACCCTAAACCCTAAACCCTAAACCCTAAACCCAAAACCCTAAACCCTAAACCCTGCTGCTTGTGAATTGTGAAAGCCTTACCAGTCGATAGCCGTCCCAGCAGCTACAGGTAGGTTCTGGTTGGCTCAGGGTTTAGGGTTTAGGGTTGCTCAAGTGATTCAAGTCTTCCCCCCCCCCCCCCCCCCCATGGTCGTCAACACTTTCAAGGTCGGGCCCTCTGCAGCCGCCGGACACGCAACTAGGGTTTAGGGTTTAGGGTTTTAGGGGTTTAGGGTTTTAGGGGTTTAGGGTTTAGGCCTTGGGGTCCTTCCACGTTCAACCCTTGCAGTCGGCAAAGCCCTCTGCAAGCAGCGGCACATCCATCGATAAACCCGAAACCCTAAACCCTAAACCCTAATCCCTAAGTCCTAAGTCCTAAGTCCTGAACCCTGAACCCCCTAAAGAATTCTAGAACGCCCGAGGGTTCAGGGTCTCAGGCTTTTGGAGGGACGAACAGCCGATTCATGACCCGAGGCCCGAAGCCCTCAGACGAATGCCCCTAAACCCCAACCCACCCCCCCCCCGGCCCCCTAACCCCTGGACTTGGGATGTTCCCCCTTATACGAACAGTCCTTAATAGAGATTGTAATACCCCCTTATTATAATCCCTACTAAGGCCTGTTAGTATAAGGGGGAACATCCCAACCCTGAACCCTGAACCCTAAGCCAAAACACGTCAACAACAGTAGCGGTAGCTCCAACAGGCCGGCAGAACGCCCCAAGCCGGAAGCTCCAAAGCAGTTATTCCTAAACCTCCCCTAAACCCCTAAACCCTAAACCCCAAACCCCAAACCCTAAACTCTAAACCCGAAACCCTAAACCCCAAACCCCAAACCCTAAACCCTAAACCCTACATGCCCCAAAGGGTGCCTTGAAAGCCTGCCCAGACTTCCGGTATGCTTCTGAGGCGGCAAGCCACAGCCTGCGACAGGGGGGGGGGGGGGGCTTTTGGTTTTTGCTTCTAGTGATTTGGGTTTAGGGTTTAGGGTTTAGGGTTTAGGGTTTAGCGTTTCGGGAAACCCACAACCCTGCGTAGACTACTAAACTCTGAACCCCCAAAACCCTCTCATGTTTTAAGAGGCCTAAAGCTTCTTGGTGGCTTTACGGCTTTATGTAGGCCTAAGGGTTCTTCACCGGATTTTTGCGACGGGTTAAGGGCTTTGAGGTTCTTGGGTTTAGGGTTTCAGGAGTGTTAGGGCCTTGGGGGTTTGGGGGGTTGAGCTTGCGAGGCTGAGGATACCCAAAAAGGGACCCTAATTTAGAGAACTGACCATGTGCTGTCTCCCAGGCGCTTGCAGTACTGGGCTTTGTCTTGCGACCACATCTCTTTCGAACCATGCATGCCTCGGACGGTTTCGGGTTTAGGGTTTAGGGTTTAGGGTTTAGGGTTTAGGGTTTAGGGCTTAGGGCTTAGGGCTTAGGGCTTAGGGCTTCGGGCTATAGGGTTTAGGGCTTAGGGCTTACCCATCCCGGTGTGCTTGTCTAGGGCTTAGGGTTCAGGTTCTTGGCTTTTATGGCGCTTGTAGGAAGGCCTAGGCGAACAAAAGGGAATGAGGGCACCCCTGAACAGCCTAACGCTGCAGATGACCCTAAGCCCTAAACCCGAAACCCTAAACCCTAAACCCTAAGCCCGAAACCCTAAACCCTAAACCCTAAACCCTAAACCCTAAACCCTAAACCCTGACCATCCACTCAGATCTGAGAGAGGAGTTGGGTTCAAGGATGCTGGCCACATCAGGGCCCGAACCCTAAGGACCAAACTCCTGGTAGGGGTTCAGGGTTTAGGGTTTAGGGTTTAGGGTTTCGGGTTTAGGCTTACTGGGCCCCCCCGGGCGGTGGCAGAGTTCCCTGTTACAGCAACCTGTCCACTGGACAAGACAACCAGAACACAACTTGAAACAAACACATCCCAAACCCCCGGCCACTGCACACGCTACGCTGTCTACACTAGGGGTTGTTTCGAGCTTAGGGCTTAGGGCTTAGGGCTTAGGGCTTAGGGCTTAGGGCTTAGGGCTTAGGGCTTAGGGCTTAGGGCAAGGGCTTGGGGCTTCGGGCTTCGGGCTTCGGGCTTAGGGGGATCAGGGTTAGGGCCTCCAGGGTTAGGGTTTGGCTCCCCCAGTGTTTGACATCGGCTAAATGCCCTACTGTAGGCAATATGTTTGACATCGGCTAGATACCCTTAGGGTTTAGGGTTTAGGGTTTAGGGTTTAGGGTGTACCCTAATGCAGGCAATATGGGGGTGTGATCCAAACGATAAGCCCTCTAGGTAGCCCAGTAACCATTCTGTAATTACCTTCATTGGTTTTTTACTGGTCGGTTCCTTGATAAGGGAAGCTTGAACCAAAACAGGGCGAAAGGGTGCACCTGGGCTACCCAGCCCGCTAAGCCCCGATATTGCGTTTCCGAACTCCTAAAACCTAAATCCTAAACCCGAAACCCTAAATCCTAAACCCTAAGCCCTAAATCCTGAACCCTAAACCCTAAATCCTAAACCCTACACCCCAAATCCTAAACCCTAAACCCGAAATCCTAGACACCAAGGCTGCCAAGGGGACAATTGTAGCGCGGCTGCTCGTCAGTGGGATTCCAGTGCACGCCTCCCCCTTGCTGATCTGGGAGAGGAACATGATCCTCCGTGGTGTCCTCAAGGTTAGGGTCTAGGGTTTAGGGTTAGGGTTTAGGGTTTAGGGTTTAGGGTTTAGGGTTTAGGGTTTGGGGTTTAGGGTTTAGGGTTTAGGGTTTGGGGTTTAGGGTTTAGGGTTTAGGGTTTAAGGTTTAGGAAACTACGGTTGTTGGGTTTTGGGTCTGGGGCTTCGGGCATACGTGCAAGGCCACGGATCACCCTGAGCTGCCAAACCCAAAGACCTGGACATGAAAGACCCTACAAAGCCCTAGACCTTTTGGAAGCTCCAACCCTAAGTCCTAAGCCCTAAACCCTAAACCCTAAATCCTAAACCCTGAGCCCTAAACCCTAAACCCTAAACCCTAAACCCTAAATCCTAAACCCTAAGCCCTAAATCCTAAATCCTAAACCACCCTAATTCTGAAACACCTCCATGGAGATGCTCCCCAGGGACGAGTCGTCCCCACAAGCCTTCAATAGGGCTCTATCCGCAAGATACTGCGCGGTCTTGCTGGGAAGGACCACAAGCCCAAACCCCTTTGACCACCAACACCCTAATCCCAAAACCCCTAATCGGCTTGGGGTTTAGGACATAGGGTTTAGCCACAGACCGTAAACCCTAAACCCTAAACCCAAAAACCTGTTCAGGAACCCCCCAAGCTCCTAAACCCTCAAAGCCCCCCTCGTAAACCCCCTGAAGTGCCACAAAAGAGGCTGGAATCTCGCAGTTGTAAGGCCCGGAGCCGCCATGCTGCCTCTTCGGGTTTCGGCTTTAGGGTTTCTGTGTTTAGGGTTTGGAGTTTGAGGTTTAGGGTTTGGGGTTTAGGGTGTGGGGTTTAGGGTTGAGGTTCGGGGGTTTTAGGGTGTCGGGTAAACCACAAACCCTACGCCCTAAACCCGAAACGAACCCTAAAACCCTAAACCCCAAACCTTGCAGGGGTCAGGGTTTTGAAATCTACGCGACTTTTTTTAGGGCTTAGGACTTAGGGTTTGGGGTTTTGGCGAGGCAGACGATGAGAGCCCTAAACCTTGTACCCTAAACCCTGAACCATCCTGAACCCTAAACCCTACCTCACGGCTCCAATTGCATGAGCGATGTCTAGCTTAGAGGGGAAGCCCGCGCTCTACATACTACAGATAGTGCCTTCTCATTAGGGTTCAGGGTTTAAGGTTTAAGGTTTAGGGTTTAGGGTTCAGGGTTTAGGGAATGCCATGGATGAAGCTGGCTCAAGACCCCACTAGAACCAAGAGAAGCCTCGGAATAGAAGGGGAGCCTTTCTCACTTTCAAGGGGCTTGTAAGGGCACCCAAACCCTCAAAAAGGGGAATAACGGCCTGCGTACTCGGGGTCCTCGTAGCCCTAAACCCTTACCCCAAAACCCTAAACCCTGGTAGATGCCTGTGGCTTTTTGCTGCTGTTGGGAGAGAAGAGCCCATGAACGTGCTGATTCAATTTGAAATCATGTCCGTATTGTAGTATATGTTGCTCATGTAACTCCTGTCGTAAAGACCTCTATGTCTATGTATATATGGAGTTTCGGAGGCTTGTTCTCCTTAAGGGTTCTGGATACTAACTCCATGCGCACATTATCTTTATACTCGGTCATCTAGGAATGATGTATCGGGTTTCATGTGTCTCTCTCATGTTAGTTCACGCAACAGAGATAGCCAAGAGCCCAGAACAAATGCAGTCAGTTAAAACTTTCTTTCGGACGCTGAACATCTCTATTCAACTGGTGATGTAACCGCCGAGCTGGGAAGTGAGCCAGCGAACCAAAAGACTAAACTTGAGTTCTTGGAGGTTCGTGGTACTTATTCACCAATTATAACCGCACTTATAACCCATGTATAATTAAGCCCCTTAAGTGCCCTAATATGGTTCTAAGTACAGTCATTATTGGTCAAAAAGTACCATGAACCTCCAAGTTGTTTTAACCGTGGCCAAATTGCTTGAAATTGGCGCCCGTGTTACAGATTAATCATGCAGGATCTATCGTGCTTCTTTTCGCTCGCAGATTCACTAATAAACAAAGCCCTCAACCCTAAGCCCTACGCCCCAAACCCTAAGCTCCAAACCCTGAACTCTAACCCTAAATCTGACGTCATGTTAGTTTTCCGCACTCCTGTTTTACTCTGAATACCACCAGCCTGACTAGGCTTCGTGGGCGGAAGGGGAAACCCCCGAGACCCTTTTGTGGTGGCGTGCGCGCACCTCGAGACGGATTCCTTGAACCCTGGAGCCAGAATACAGTCGTAGTTGCTAGCAGTTCTTTGAGTTCTCTTAGAGGCTCCTGAACCTCTCATAGAAGGCTTCCCTAAACCCTAAACCCTCAACCCTCAACCCCAAACCCCAAACCCTAAACCCTAAACCCTAAACCCCCTGAAGCCCAAAACGCAGATGCAGCCGGAGTGCGGCAGTGGGGGACGCTCATTCGCGCGACAGCCCATCCCACGGTTCCTCTCAGGCTTTCGGGGTTTTGGGGGGGATTTAGGGGATTTAGGGGTTCAGGGGTTTAGGGCTTAGGGGATTTAGGGGATTTAGGGGATTTAGGGGATTTAGGGGATTTAGGGGATTTAGGGGATTTAGGGGATTTAGGGGATTTAGGGGATTAGGGGTTCAGGGGTTTAGGGTTTTAGGGCTTAGGGGTTTAGGGTTTTGGGGGATTAGGGGGTTTAGGGTTGAGGGTTGTTTATAATTTAGGGTTTTGAGGGATTAGGGGGCTGAGGGGTTTATGGCTAAGGGTTTAGGGGTTTAGGGCTTCAGGGGTTAGGGGTTTAGGGTGTCGGGGGGGTTTAGAGCTTCTGGGGCTTAGGCTTTAGGGTTCTGTCCGGAGGCCATCTACAGGTCCGTGTTGGATCGTTCAGGCTTCTGATCCTGGGATTAATTCAGGGGAGGTCTCCCCAAACCTGAAACCCCAAACCCTTAACCCTAAACCCTTAGCCCTAAACCCTTAGCCCTAAACCCTAAACCCTAAACCCTAGGCCAAACCTGTTAGGGTAGTTTCATGGGACCTGAATATGGTCCCTAACCGTCCTCCTTTACAGGGTTCTGATGTCTGGGCCCTTATTTTGGGTTTAGGGTTTAGGGTTTAAGGTTTAGGGTTCAGGGTTTAGGGTATATAAAGGGTACCTTTGTAAGGGCCCATGTATCTACCTTCAGAAAATCAGGCCCAAGAGCAACCATAGGGAAAAACAAAGAGTCCCCTTTGATGGTTAAAAGGGGGCTTTGCTCTATGTTCCCTCAAAGGCCAAACCCGAACGAACCCTGCAACCCTCACCCAAAACCCCAAATCCTGAACCATAAGCCTTTCAACCCTAAAACCAAAATCCTGAAAATTTGAACCCTGAACCCCAAACTCCAACACATCTAAACCCTAAGCTTGTAACCCAATCTTGGGGACCAAATGAACCCTACAATTGGGATCCCTATGAAGGTATGTGAACCATAAACCCCTTTCAGGGTTGATTTGGTTCCCAAGGTTCCCTAAACCCTAAACCCTAAACCCTAAACCCTAAACCCTAAACCCTAAACGTTAGCCCTAAACCCTTGACACTACACCCCCAAACCCTAAACCCTAAACCCCCGGCAGCGCCCGCAGCACCAGCTGCGGCGCTTGGAGGTCCAGCCGAGCGAAGCGTGCCTGGGCTGCAAGCTCTGAGGCCTTTCTTTCCCCCTGGCTCTTGGGAGGGGGGAAGAATTAATCCTTTAAAGGCTTTAAGTTTAAGATCTTTGCAGGGGACACGTTGCATGTATATATATATACACACACACCAAGTAGCAGACACGGACATATACAGACACACAAATGTAGTCGGGACATAGGGTACCTAATTCTCTGATTTCCCTACTAAGAACCATTTTTTCTTGGGGTTTGAGGGCTTAGGCTTTGGGGCGCTACATCCGGCCTCAAGATGCTTCAGAATCCCTGCGCCTCAGAGTGGCCCCTCACAACCCCGAAAGCCTGGGTAGGTGTGTGAGTGCCGAAGGTGCTAGGGTGTAGGGCTACGCCCGAAAGCCCATGCTACGCCAAACCCCTGAACCCCACTGTGGCCGAGTGTCCGGTCCAAGGCATCGCAGTCGTAGGGGCAGGCAGGCGAAAAGAGGTGCTTTGTGCAGCAGTAGCGGATCTTCCTTCCATGAGGGTTCGGGGTTTAGGGTTTAGGGTTTAGGGTTTAGGGTTTAGGGTAATCGGTTTAGGGCACGTCTCTGGGCGGCGGTATTGATCCTGCTGTTCCCTGTTCCCTAAACCCCAAACCTTAGGGTTTAGGGGTTTCGTGTGTGGGGAACACCAGAGCTGATGGAAACCGGGTCGTAGCTTAGGGTCGCCTAGCAAACCCTATACAGTGTAACCCCAACACCCAAAAAACGAAGCATGACTCAACACCCGAACTCCTAAAAGCGTAACCCTCAAGCCTGTAAACATCCGAAGGGCTTGGGTAACGGGGACACCCAAAAGGGTTTTCGAGCGTTTAAGCTTCGGGATCATCCAAGGCTATGACCACATCCGCAGTACGCGAAACCCTTTCAAACCACCTCAGCGCCCGACCTTAGACCCAGCCAAAACCTTGAGTTGGACTTTAACCCCTAAACCCCTAAACACCTAAACCCCTAAACCCCTAAACCCCTACACACCTAAAAACCCTAAACCCCTAAAACTGTAAACCCCCAAAACCCTAAACCCCTAAAAACACTAAACCCCTAAACCGATAAACCCCTAAACCCAAAACCCAAAATGTCTCTACCTGCCGAGCAACGCCGTCCGATAAATCTCCCCGATTGGCGGGCCGTAGGTCTTGCAGTGAAGGACCTTGTTTAGGGCTTAGGGTTGAAGTTTAAGGTTTAGGGTTTCTGGGCTTTACGCCAGCCCCAACTGAACCCCGAATCCCCACAAGCACCTATCATGTTCAGTGGTTGTAGCCTCCGGCGTTGGAACCTTTTGTTTCCCAGGGTTTGGGGCTACAGGTGAGCCCCTACACGCTCCAGGCTTGAAACACCCAAACCTAAACCCCTAAACTCCAAACCCTACATCCTAAACCCTAAATCCCAAACACAAACAACTCCCAAACTTCCCTACATCCCCGGAGAGCCCACGGCACAGCCCCATGAGCTAGGAATATAGACCTGCCCATGATGAGGACAACTCCTATGCAGTTGGAGGATCGGTTCCTCGAACCCTAAACCCTAAACCCTTAACCCTAACCCGAAAACCCTAAACCCGAAAACCCTGAACTCTTTAGTAGGGGATTGGTCTGGGGCTTTGTTGGGGTCCATCATCCAAGAAGGCCCGTAATGCCGGGTTCGCGTTCGGACTCCCAGACCAAATTTGGGGTTTAGGGTTTCGGGTTGAGGGTAAGGAGTTTAAGGACTTTAATCGGTCTAGGGTATAAGAGTGGAAGGGTTTAGGCTTGAGGGTCGGGTTTATGGGTTGAAGAGGTAAGTGCTGAGGCAAGGGCGTATGGTTGAGGGTCGTAGGGCATCAGGTCTTTTGCTGATGCCGCTGTTTTCTTGTTCGTTTCCACGGGCTATAATTATGTATTCGAAAGGCAGCCTGTCCTTTGGGGAAACCCAAAACCTCCAAAACCGAGGGCTTCGAGGCCTAGAGGGGATGAAGCTTGGGTGCTTCAGGATTTGGGGTTAGGGATTTCGTGGATTTCGTGGACTTCCACGCCTACGGGCTCCTCCTACTACCCTCAACGCCTGAAGCCTAAACCCTCAACCCTAAACCCTAAAGACTTCCCAATGTTCCTATCTCTAAACTCCAACAAAAGCACTCGGTCAGCTCTTGTAGTTAGGCCTTGGGGTCAAGGGTTTTGAGGCTTTGGGCTCTCTCATGTAGGGGACTTCTTGCCTACGTAAGGAATTTGTGTATTGTAGCAAACAAGCCTTAAACCCTAAACCCTAAACCCTAAACCCTAAACCCTAAACCCTAAACCCTAAACCCTAAACCCTAAACCCTGAACCCTGAACCCTGAACCCTGAACCCTGAACCCGAAACTCACTCTGTCTTACAGGACAAAGCCCAGCTGCTAGGTTCAGCCCCCAGCCGGCAGGTGCGTCCGTGCGCTTGGCACAGATCCTGGGCTCAAGGCAGGTGGCTTGGGGTTTAGGGTTTAGGGTTTAGGGTTTAGGGTTTAGGGTTTAGGGTTTAGGGTTTAGGGTTTCGGGTTTCGGGTTTAAGGTTCGGTTTTTGTTTGACTCCAAAACCATAAACCAGTCGAGATTCTGTCCATTCTCCTGGTAGATGTGGAAAGTGTCTGGATATTGTCCGGTTCTGCCCACCTGCTTTGCCGTGTCATCGCAGTAGATTCCTCGCAGGGGCTGTTGGGCTTGAGGGATCTAGGGCAAGGCTTTTCAGGTTTCGGGCTGAGGGAACACTATCTCCTCTAAACCCTAAACCCTAAACCGTTCATGGCACCTCCGAGCACGAAGACCCTCAACCCGACACCCCTAAACCCTCAGTCTCGGGCCCTACGGCCTACTGAGTGTCGGGTCTTGGACACGGCAAGGGGGGGGGGGGGTTAGGGTTTAGGATTTAGGGTTTAGGGTCTAGGGTCTAGGGTTTAAGGTTTAGGGGGATTCGCGGCTAAGGTTGTAGGTGTATTTCTAGGCTGTGAAGCAACCTCGCCCTCAGACCTCAGACCGTAATGGCTCAAATTCTAGCTGCAGGAGGATCCTGGCAAACATTGGCAGAGCTCTGCCTAAACCCTAAACCCTACACCCTAAACTGCTGAACCCTAAACCCTAAACCCTAGAAGCCCTGGGCCTGGCTGGCTGTCCACGCACTTGATCTGGGAGTCAGGGCTCTCCCCGATGACCACTTCGCGTCCTCCGTTCCCTCCGTGGCTTCCGCTGCCTCCTCCGAATCCTCCTCCGCCGCCTCGGGAGGGTCTAGGGTTTAGGGTTTAGGGTTTAGGGTTTAGGGCTTAGGGCTTAGGGCTTAGGGCTTAGGGCTTAGGGCTTAGGGCTTAGGGTTTAGGGTTTCAGGACCAGGGTTCATGGATTCTTGGCCTCTTTCCAGGCTTTGGGTTCATTATTACACCAGAATACAGTAGGGAACCCCAAACCTGGACGTTGCATCCTGTTCAAGATCCTGCCCCCAAAGCCCCTTTCCCATAAACCCCGAACGCCCTTTAACCTAAATCCTAAAACCCCATAGTGCGAAGATGCTGCTCCCCCGGGTCTTGCACTGGACGACCAAGTGAAGGCCCCATCCGGCGTGGGTATCTGTGCGATGGGCGCAGATCCTTAGCACGCGCAAGGACAGTCGAAGCGCTTGTAGGGCTCGGGGTGTCTAGGACCCCCTAAACTCTAAACCCGAAACCCTGAAACCCTTAAACCCTGAAACCCTGAAACCCTTAAACGCTTCTTTGACCCGTGAACCCTTACACCCCCCCCCCCCCCCCAAAACTCTAGAGAGCCCCGGGGTGAAACCCTTAAACCCTAAACGCTAAACCCCTAAACCTTAAACCCTCTCCTCCCCGCCGCAAACATGCACGGTCAAGGCAAGATTCTGGCTGCCTTCGTGGTAGATGTGGAAGGTGTCTGGATACTCCTCAGTCATCCACATGCTCTCCCCCTCATTAAATCGGGAGTCAATTTCTGAGGGTGGTTACATGGTCCCTTGGTATGGGCTGTTGGGCCATTAGAAGGGCCCAGACATCAGAACCCCTTACAGGAGGTGGGGGACCATGCTAAGGGCCCATGTCACTTCCCATAGAAGCTTCCCAAACCAAAAGCTAAGCCTGAAGCCAAACTCCCCTCCGCAAAAACACATACTACATAATACTATTTTCGGGCGTCTCATACACTCCTTGGGTGTTGTCGTTCTATCAATATAGTGGCAAGGATCATGTTAAACAATGAACATCGTGATATCGACAGTGCGAACCAGCGAAGTAAGACAGAGTGCTTTAGAAGACTAAGAACCGCTCGAGCAAAAAAGTCAACTTCGTGGTAGTTTGCCTGGAATGCGGTAGAGGGCTGTATAGCGCAAGAATCTCCCCAAAGCCACGGCTTTGGGTTTCGGGGCACCCAAACCCTAAACCCTAAATCCTAAACCCCAAACCCTAAACGGTAAAGCCTAAACCTAAACCATAAACCCTAAACCCTATGGCCCTATTCTTAAGCAAAGCTTGCCGGTAAGTCTCTCCCGTGCGGCCCTTTTGCTGGGCGGTGTCGTCGCAGTGCACGTGCCCGGGATCCCGAACGCACTTTGTGGCGGAGGTTAAGCTGCTGCCGAACACCACCTCGCCTGTTTAGGGTTTAGGGTTTAGGGTCGAGCTTTTAGGGCTTAGGGTACTACACACCCGAACTGTGGTTTGAGGGTTTGGCTGGAGGCAGCGGCAGTTGCAGAGAGTCCTTGAAGAACATTGTTAGCTCTACGGACAGCAAGGCCTTGTTGGTTTAAGGTTTGCCTACCCCTGAATATAACCCTAAACCCCAAACACTGAGTCCTAAACCCGAAACCCTCAAAACTAAAACCCCCCTGACAGGAGTCACAGGGCCCTGAGTAGTACATACCTGGATGCAAAACAGCAGGGGAGTGGAGCGTAGCTGGTAGGGTTTGGGGTTTGGGGTTTGGGGTCTACGGTCTAGGGTTTGGAGTTTGGGGCCTTAGGAGTTGGGTCCTGACTGTTTTCATTTTCCACGGAAGCCTGGCCGTGAATATGGTCCCTGGCTTGGTTTGAAGGGTTTAAGGGTTTAGCTTAGGGTGTGTGGTTTAAGGTTTAGGGTCCGAATTAAATGGCACACCCTCTGGGTCCTAGTTACGTTGATTTAAAGGGTTCTGAGGTAGGCCCTGTGGCTTTAGAGGGCAGATCTTAAGAAGGGAAGAAACGGCTTTCAAAATCAGGGGCCCCTACCAAGGGGCCTTTTAACTACCCTAAACCCTATAAGCCCTCAGCCCTAACCCTAAACCCTAAACCCTCTAAACCCTGTTTACACCCTAGCCTGCGCTGTCTTGGTAGTCCCCAGCGTCGTGCGAGGTCTTCAGGCACCTAAGCTCTCTTTCAAGCATCGAAGGGTACGCTAGGATCCGATGCTACCCGAGCCCTAAACTCTTGCAACCCTGGGGCGTGGCTAAGGTTTGGGGTTTAGGTTTTGGGGTACATGTCTTCGGACCTGTAGGGGCGTGCCGGGTAATGGGGGTCCATGAGCCATTTTTCGCAAGAAATCCAGTACTCAGGGAAATTGAAGGAGGAGGGTAAGATGAGGATGGTAGCTTTGGGACTTGGCAACCCTGCCGCTTACAAAAGATCCAACAGGTCTCCGCCTTAGCCTGAAAGGGCTGTTTGTGGGGCTACCCCCCAAACAGAAAAGATGATAATCCGTATATTATTGCCCTTACGAGGAAGAATCTTGTTCTTTTGTTGGGTGAATCTGAAGCAAATTAATAGTAGTAGCGGTCGATAGGCTCATAACTCGCGCGGCGTCATACTTGAGGGAAGTTGGGGGGGGGGGGGGGGGGGGGGGGGGGGTTGGAGACGGGGGGTGAAGGGGGAGGGGGCTAGAAAGACGGGCGTCGTCTTTACCGCAGCCCTAAACCCTAAACCCTAAAATCTCTCAACCCTAAACCCCCTACCCTAAACCCTAAACCCAAGACCTAAATCGAGTAATCTAGGAATCAACTGGCTGAATGGGGTTTACCGAGGGAACCTAACCTGCGGATTTTTGTCATGGGTTTTTGAGGGTTATGTAGGGATTTGGGGAAAGCTGGGGTCTCAAGAGTTTAGGGTTTAGGGTTCAGGGCTTATAGGGTATAGGGTTTAGGGTTTTTAAAGTTAGGGTTTAGGGCTTAGGGTTTAGGGTTTCCTCTCCAAGTCCAGGTTCAAAAGGTGGGAAAAGAAAGGGGAATAGACCACGTGTCCAACCTCTCCATCAAAAGTGCCCCCCCCCCCCCAATGCCGGCAGAAAAGCGTGAACAAAAGAAAAGAAGACGCGCTTTTTGCTCACGATTTGACAACTACTATTGCGATAGTCTGTGAGCAACCCTAAACCGTAAAAACCAAACCCCACACCCTAAACATCAGCTCTCGAGACACTTTCAGTGCTACCTGCACGACTTGGCTGACATATAAATTCCGAGGGGGTCCTTTTCTTGGCGTCCCTCCTCGGGCCTCAGCAGTTTAGGGTTTAAGTTGAGGATTTCGGGTGTTGAACAGTCGCTAGGGTCAGAGGGGTGTACTTAGAGGTTCATGGGCCGTTACAAGTGAGGTTATATAAGTTTTCTTATTAGAGGTGAGAAAAAAGGCTAGTGACTTCCAACCCCAGTTTTCAGTTTATAACTACCCACGAACCTCCTGAACCCTAGAGACCCTAAACCCTACCCCCCCCCCCCCCCCCCCAAGCCCCAAGCCCCAAGCCCCAAGCCCTAAACCCTAAACCCTAAACCCTAAACCCTGAACCCTAAACCCTAAACCCTAAACCCTGAACCCTAAACCCTAAACCCTAAACCCTGAACCCTCGCTCCCGTGTGAGCTAAGGCCCCCAACAGCACTGCCACGTTCATGCCCCAACCGGCCGTCGCATCCGTCCGTCGAGCACAGATCTGGCTTCTGCTTGTTCTTTAAAGCCCTACACAGGGTCTAGCGTTTAGGGTTTAGGGTTTGGGGTTTGGGGTTAGGGGTTTAGGGTTTGGGGTTTGAGGTTTGGGGTTTGGGGAAGCGGCGTAGGGTTTAGGGGACTCTTTAGTGGGACTCTTTGTAAGGGGTTTCGGGTGCAGGGGGATTTTGGTTTCATGCTAAACTCCTAAGCCCGAATCAGCTTAAGGGGTGTAGATTTCGGCAATTTGGAGTTCTATTCTGTTGCAGGATTCCTACTGAATGAGCATGCTCGTACTTTGCGGAAATATGAAAGGGCCGCATACATCTTGAGAAAAATGCAGTTTTGTATTGTCTATTATGAGGGGTCTCTTTCGACGAGCTTCCCTTGCAGATAGGGTCCTGCAAAGAAATCCTAATTCGCAACAGCCTTTCACGTGCAAACTCTGCCACAAGATCTTGGGAAACAGGACAGGCTTACGTCGAGGATCCTAAGCCCTAAAGCCAAAAGACCGAAAACCATAAACCTTTAAATCCCTAAAGCCCTAAAACGGTTAAGGGTTTAGGGTTTAGGGTCTAGAGTTGAGGGATACCCTAAAGCCTAAACATACCTAAACCCTAAACCCCACTTCCGAAACTCCCGACCGAGAAGCTCCACACCCCCCCCACAAACACCCGGAAAATCCCTAAAGCCCGCAGAGCCCTAAATCCCTCTGCCCCCCCCCCCTCTAGGGTTCTTCAGGGAGGCTCAAACCCAAAGCGTTGAAAACAAAAGGCAAATCTCCTCAAACTCCTACCAAAAAACCTCAAAACCCCCATAAGCTCCTCAACACCCTATCAAAGCCTCAAGGCCCTGAACTCCCGCACCCCTACCCCCACAACACAAAAAAACAGTCGACTCAAAAACCCGAAACCACCAAACCCTAGCCCTAAAACCTAAACCCTACACCCTAAACCCCAAACCCCAAACCCTAGACCCTAAACCCTCCTTAACCCTCAACCCAATCTTATATATTGATGGTTTATGCAAGTGTTGTTACACAAAAATGGGTAATTTTCATGAAACATTATCAATATTCAATGAATTAAAACCAAAATACAACACATTACCTGACTATATTTACAGTATTGTTATCAATGCATGCGCACATTCAGGACAATATCAAACTCCTTAACCGAAACCACAAACCCAAGGCCTGATCGCCGTGGTGGAAGATGTGGAACCTAGGGTTGGGTTTAGGGTTTATGAGGGTTTAGGGTTTGCGGTTTGGGGTTTTAGGGTTTAGGGCTAGGGTTTCGGGTTCGGGGTTCGGGGTTCGGGTTCGGGGTTCGGGGTTCGGGGTTAGGGGTTTGGGGTTTTTAGGGTTCCAGGTTCTTGGGTTTTAAGGGCTTTGAGGGTTCCAGGCTCCGGGTCGCTAGGGGTTTAAGGCTTGGAGTTTGGGGTTTAGGGGTTTAGGGCTTAGGGTTTAGGGTTTGGGGTCTAGGACTTGGGGTTTATAGTTTGGGAAATCCACCAGTTGTTATCCGTTAAGCCATGAGCAGGGGCGCGCCTAACCTTTTTACTCAGAGGGCTTGAGCGACACAAGTAAGTGCAACATACATGGAAGCAAAAGTGGAGGGAATGCACAGATATAAAATACACCCCCCTCGTTGAAGCGTGAGAATGCTGAAACGCAGTCAACGAATCCACGGCAAGCACTACGTGCTGCATTTTGCTCTTCTACTGTATGTTCAAAGTGCGCTCACCCGAGTTTTAATTCAGGTTCAACGCCACAGATCACCGCGCACCAGCTTAAGAAATTTGAAACGCTGGCGGGGATACAAAGGTGGCTCGTGCAATACAGTGGTTCACTCAGCATCGACCTCAAAAGGAAAGGAAAACAGAGCGTTGTGGTCAAGATGCTAAGCTACTTTATCAGGAAAAGCGGAACTCAGGCCTCACCAGCTGCGATCTCGATGGTCGTAGCGCCAAGGTCCACGGGAGTGCTCCGTATTGCGACTCCCCGAGCTCCACCAGGATCCTTGATCCTGCCACTGGCGGTCACGCCAGGAACTTGAGGAATGCCAGTCGTCCTGCGACCAAGAGTTGTCGCTCCACGACCAGCCACGATTCGTGTCACGATCGGCCTCCCCATAACGGGGGCATTTTGCGATGCCTTTCTTGCATCCGCCCGCGCCTGAGCGGCCCGGGACGCTTCTGCCGATTCCTTCATCTTTCGGCACGTCTCCTTTGCCCCACCATAATTTTCAGAGAGGATCTCGGCCAAAAAGACTGCCAGATGTTCTTCCTCATCGAAGTCCGGGATGCCAATGATGCCCTCCGTGAAGGTGAGGATGTGGGAAACCGCACGGGTGACGCGGATGATCCGGGCGAACTCCTTCACGCCCATGAAGTTGCCGAGCCAAGCGTAGCCCATAGGTTCGAGGTTGGGGTCGTCGATGAGGCCGGCCAGGACGAGATCGTCGGCATTCTTGTCGAAGAACGCCATGCGAGCCAGGCCCTCATGATTGACCTTTTTATTCTCCCAGGCCTTGTTGGAGCCGTAGCCCAACTCACGTTGTTCGCGGGAACGACCTTGATTGGGAAGATAAGCGCATGCCACGCAGTCCTGAATAGTGAGCCGCCTTCTCGTCCAGCCGCCCTTGATAGCGTGGATCGCGTAGGTGTCGTCCTGGTCGAACTTGTCCACCATCGACGTGTAGCCGTGCTTCGTGATGCCTTTGAGATTTTGGCGTGCCAACATGATAGCTCGGCCATCTACGCTCTGCTGTCCCCTCAAATCATGCGTTCCAGCGGCCTGGCGAATCTTCGCGGCATCCATCTCCCAAAGGCCCTTTCCAAACTGCTCCGCCAGGGCGTCCAAGACATGGGAGCGCTCACGCGCCATCCACATTCTGAAGGCACTCTGGGTGGCCCCACGGGTGACGTAGTAGCCGCAGTGGAAACACTTGTGCTGACCTTCGAGACGAAGCTTGCCACAATTGACGCACTGAATCTGCGTGATTCCCCTTTTCCATCCAGGACGCGGCGCTTGTGTTGCCGGTGCCGTAGAGCGGGTAGCCACTCCTTCATCAGGAACCACTTGCAACTGACCTTCAGTCAAACGGTTCCTTCCTGAAGGCGACACCTCGATGACATCGGCGTCGACATCAGGCTCCTCCTGTACTTCTTGGAGAGGTCCCACGGCGTCAATGACCATGCTTCCGGAAGATTCGGCCTCCTCTACATGAGGGGCATTCTCTTCCTCCTCCTGTTCCTCAGGTCCATCCGCGCCAGACCACAAGATCTCATCGGTCTTCGTGTCGCGGATGTAGAGAATCGTCGATCCAGAGATCGATTCTCTGCAAAGGACGCCCTCGGACCTCGAGTAGAACAGTCCAGCGCCTTGCCTGAGGGCAGCCAAGGTGTTGACGACCACCTCCACGGGGCGATCGCTTCTCACGCCAGGGACATTTTCTCCCGGCCCTACCTCCCGGTCGGCAAAATACACAAAGGCATTCGCGGTGTGGTGCCCGGGGATAAAGCAGGAGTCCAAGATGGCAAAGGCTCGGTCCTTGTAGGTGCGGTGGTAGAGCCTGCGTGGAATCTTCTCCAGGGGCAAAACCGGCCGACCTTCCCAGGTGGCAGAATGCTCATCCATCTCTGCTTCTGGGATCATGCTGAACCAGGCCTCCGCAAGGATCGAGTCGGGCACCCCTTCCATAGCATCTTTGGAGATGCCTTGGTTCGCCCTGATAAGGGTAGGGTAGCCTCCTAGGCCGTAGTACTCGGCGAGGGGGTGGTTGCGGTCAATTCGCAGCTGGATTGTCGTTCTTGACGACAGTGAGGAGCATCCCGAGGCCATAATCCCTGTTCGTCTTCTTGTTCCAGGCCTCGAGGATCTTCCTTGTAGAGCACCACAATCCATCGCCCTGCAGACCTGGGACGACCTTGCCGCGGACAATACCGGACAAGGCAGTCTTGTGATGCTGGGGAATGTGGATATACTTGAAGTTCGGCATCTCGTCCTGAAGGATGTCAATCCACTCGGCCTCACCTCCCGGTGGGCATAAATGGATTGTGTCCCAGTCGAGGCCCAACATGTCGACGAGGCACCAATCGTCATCGGTTGAGTAGTAGCCGGACTTGATGGGCTCGTCATAGGCAGCCTCGTGTGGGCCCTTCTTTGCCCGCTTGGGGGCACTGGACTCAGGGTTGGTCCGCTGACGACTGTAGACCTCCCCCCTGGCCAAAAGCTTCTCCTTAGTCTCCCGCGCCGTTGACGACGATGACGGAACAACGACGGCCTCCCCTGGACGGGGGGCATTTTCCTCGCTCTTCTTGATCATCTCGTCGTAGTCCTCGCGGGTAACATATTCCCCATCTCCCAGGTGAACGTGGTCCTTGAAGTCCCGGTGGACAAAGTGGTTCGGCGCGGTGTCGGGGAACTGCTCCTGGGGTCCTTGGAAGTAGATGTCGTCCCACGGGTCAGCCTCGACAAGCGGCTGATGTGTGGGCTCTACTCTTCCTCTGCGGAAGTGGTTCAGGAGCTTCTCCTCCACCTGCACGTCCACAGCGAACTTGACGTTGGGCTTTGAGACGTGGCCGTAGTTCTGCAGGACCAGGTCGATGTCGGCTTCCTTGAAGAAGGAGCATTGGTGACGAAGGACCATAATCCTGGCGGTAAAACCAAACCACCTCAACAGCTGCAAACGATAGGCGCTGTCCTCCTGGAAGTGAAAGTGGTCGAATTTGCGGATCTGGCTCGCAGGCGTATTGAAATGCTTGACGGCCAGCCCAAGTTGGGCGGCGTAGTCGAGCAAATCCGCCATGATGGTACCCCAATCGCGCGGGAGGTAGTAGTTGGCAGCGTCGGTCGCAGACGTGAGCAGCACAGTACCCACTGACGCCCGTGACTGTAGATCCGCCAACTTGCCTATCTCTCGGAGAACCTTTGGTCCAATGAACTCCCAGCTCCCCTTTGCCATGTGCGGGTAACCACGAAGCCACTCCGTCTTGCTCTTGAAGCCTGGGTCCAAAAACAGACCTCTGTCGCCGACGAACTCGTTCCCGTTCCAGATCATCATGAGGTCAATGCTCACCTGACCACTGGCGCCAGTTTCACGCTCCAGTTGGGTGATTTTTCCCACGGCGAGCTCTACGAGCCGCGTGAGATTCGCACCCCATGTAGGAATGTACTCAACGCCAAGATGATGTGGGAACGCATTGCCGCGGTTGGCCTTGATGTCTGCCAGCAGATCTGTCTTCCAATTTCCTTCAGTGAGGAACGTAGTTGTAGAGTCTGCGACGATGACAAGGTAGCGCAAACGGCCTCGAGTAGACTCGGGCTGGAGCATGGCCAAGCCTTGATCGGTGAGCCTTCCAATTTTGGCCACCAAACCAGCCTCCCTGACGTCACTGAGGGCATATTCGCATGCCAGTGGCCGCGGCAAATACTTGTAGAAGTTGTTCACGCTGGCTTCATCCTCCTGGAAAGGCGCCATGGTGCGGTATTCGGAAGACAATGAAGTCTCCCACAACCGCCGATCCCACCACTGGCGCAGGACCTCCGTCGGTGCAACGATTCCAGCGTTGGTGTCTGCCATGTCCGGCGCGCAGAGCTCTGCCGCGAGAATGCAGCAAGCAGCTAATGCGTTAGTTTGTTCAGTTTTGCGAGTGCAAACGTGTTTGTGATTACACGAAAATTGTTGTTGTGCACATGCCGTATAATTAGAACGCCTATCGCAAAAGCTTTTCCAATCAATGTGGATGCAATCAGTCATGGCATGTGAATAGTTCTCACTGTCCTTAAGGTCCTGGCCTCTAGACTCGCCATGAACATGACTGCGATCACACTTGTGCGCTGCCAGCCGCTGCAATGGAATGGACGACGCAATGGTCCAAGCTTTCCTTAGTGGTAATCCTTGGTGATTCGTAATCCCCAACATGCAACCATCGCAACGGTAGAACTCAAGTCCAAGGTCATTAACCATATGCTGAACATGGTCCCACTTCCAATAGTCGCAATCCTTAGGGAGTTCGAAGGCGACCTGTGGTTTGTACTCTTTGAGCTTCCTAATGAATTTTCGGAACTGCTTGAGGAGTTTGCAAAATAGTTCCTGATGCTGTTCCCACTTTGGGCTGTCAGGCGTCATGCGATTCCACGGACAACCACCAGTACACGGAAGCGACGCATAAACTAAAATTGGCTTAGATGCTCCCCCCTCGTCGCAGAGGGTACTAA